TGGTCCTATTTACAAACAACGCCGGGAATCTGGACGGCTGGGAGGAGTGGTTCTTCCTCGCCGAGGTAGGCTCCCCGATGCCATTCTCTGATAGGTGGAACGCCTATTCGGTGAAGTCCATTCCGCTGCCTATGACGGATGAGGAGCTTGGCTATGCCAAGCGCATAACTGGACTTGGCATCCAGAACCTCCGGTCGCTGGTGGCCGAGCCTTTCAAAGCTCGGGCCGGATTAGGTGCGCCCGTTTGTACTTGCATTATTCTATCATCCTTTCATTGTTATGGTTCTGAACGTCTTGGCTTCTTTTCTGAAGGAGTTTTCCCGTCTTCATCCTCTATGGGACGTTCCAATGATGCTTCAATTGTCCCTGGTCGCAAGGGCAAGGATCAGGATAAGGGCAGGACAATGATGCTTCAATTGTCCCTGGTCGCAAGGGCAAGGATCAGGATAAGGGCAGGAAGCCGCTCGTCCCCAAAACCGAGTCTCGGGTGACTAGAGCACGGGCCGACGATACCTCGAAGGTTGGGGCTTAAAGAGGCCTCGTCTTGATGGTACTACCTCCAAGGCCATCATAGTGGCTGATGACTCCGATGGCGAGCCTGGGAGTCCCCTTAAGCGGAAACCTACTTCGAGGACTAAACCCCCTCCTTCTTCGTCAAGGAACTCTGACGTTCGTCGCCTCTGGGATGAGGACATACAGACCGTTGGAGGTTCTGGTGACGCTCGTCCTTCTTCGCCTCCGGAAACCAACAGGTCCTCCCTTGGCCTTATTGAATTCTCCGGGGTTGGTCCCCGCAAAGAGTCGATGATGCTCTTCGGCCAGACCGCGTCTTCTATCTGGCGTGGTCTCAACCTCAAGGTTTCTCAAGATTTCACCGCTTAGGAGGCCCCCGAGGATCTTCTAGAGTGTGGCCAGAGTACTTTGGACAAGGCCGGGCTCTACTTCCACAGGGCTCGGATGGCCTTCGAACATCAGGGGAGGGAGATGGCCCTAGTACGAGCTGAATGCGACACTCTGCTCAGAAATGCTAAGGGCAAGGTTGGGACCCTCCAGGAGAAGGCTGATGCCTACGACAAGCTTGTCCAGGAGAGTGCCTCTCAGAAGGAACTCCTGAGGAAGCAGGAGGCCGAGCTGGTGGATCTGCGAAGCCGTATGTGGGCGGTTTCCCAAGCCGGGGTGGACGTTCATCGCACAGGTGTAGATAACCATGTTCCTATATACGAGGCCGACGTCTCGAAGATTAAGGAGTCTGGTTCCATTGAATTCAGAGGTCCAAGGCCTATACTGGCGCCATCCAGGCCATGGCCAGGAAATTCCTTCCGAAGTTCGTCGGGGAGTTTCTTGCCACCTGCCGCGATCCTTATTTAGATGGCATTAAACTGCTTCAGGCCACTCCCACCGGAGAGCGCTTCCTTGATGATCTTGCCGATGACACCTACCTCAAGGGTATGATCGGCCTAGTGGCAGAGAATCTCCCGGCTTTCGAGCGTCACTTTGGGGCTCCCTTTGATCCGGTGGCGGCTGGTTTCGACTCACTAATGGTAGACGCTTACAAGGGGGCCCTTGAGCTGCTGAAGGAGCGCAAGGAGCAGGAGGAAGCTGAGGCCAGGGAGAAGGCCAAACAAGTCCCTTTTAAGGTCCCGGCCCAGGACGTCGACTAGCCTGAAACTCTGCTCGTCTTCCAATACTTGTATTAACTTATCATTCTTATATTGTACTTTACATTTGTAGTTTTCCGGTCAACAGTACCGAAGAATAAAATCATTATCATTCTTTGCTCCATGCTCGTCTGGCATTTTTTTTTTGGAGTCTTTTGGTCTTTGTTCTTCTCAAGTCTCGTGAGTTATTAGTCTTGTATTAACTTATCATTCTTATATTGTACTTTACATTTTTAGATTAATACACCAACAAAACTGAAACGACCGATATAAATAGACCAAAATGTGCTAAAACCGACCGAAATCAACATAAATCAATCAAAACCGGCTCAAGTTGTACTACTCACTTCTCAATTTTATCTATTTTAGAATTTAACCTAACTGGCTGAAATTGAAACAATAAAATTGAAATCCATGAAATGGAATCAACAAACACCCCTACTTTTTGTATGGACAAATTACAGTATTACACTAATCAAATTCGCTCTGCCCTCACCAAATCCCACGTGTCTTTACACACCTCTCTTTACAATTTCTACCATTTCATTTTGTGGTATTATTGTAGCAAAAGTCTAGCCTAGTAGACTTTGATGACATACAAATAAATAAATAAATAAATAAATAAATAAATAAATAAATAAATAAATAAATAAATAAATAAATAAATAAATAAATAAATAAATAAATAAATAAATAAATAAATAAATAAATAAATAAATAAATAAATAAATAAATAAATAAATAAATAAATAAATAAATAAATAAATACTTCCGTGAAATGAATGAATAAGTAAATAAATAAGTTTATTGTTCTAAACTTCTAGCTAGCTTGTAATCATTAATGCAATTCAACCTCCCGTCAATCCGCTATCATTAATAAATGAGGAAGCGATCCAGCCTAATTGGTCTCGGGTCCGAAACTCAATGGAGTGAATTTCACCCTAGATTATTCCATGCTCCTCAAGCCCCCCTCCCTAGACGCCCCCTGGAGTAATAAAAAAAATCATTAATAATTATATGTATAGAGAGATCAATTTATCCAAATAGGATCAAAATATAGCATTCTTTCAAATGTAGGATCATCCATGTGTTTGATTTTCTCTAAATAGGACTAATCATGTTCTTACTTGGACTGAAATTTGTTGGTTCGGCCTAATCTGTTTAAGTTTGATCTGGTGTGGTTTAAACTAGTGTACTTTGGTAAATGTTTGTTCTTTATGTATTTTATATTATAACTACAGAAATTTGGTCTGGTCAAGTTTAGTCTAGGATTGAAAACAGTCTAAATAAAAATATCCTAACTCTCAAATGATTAGTTTGACCAATTTTTCTCTTATGTATAACAGTATAAGTAAATCAGCAAAACAAAGTCATTTGTAAATAAGGGAAACTGTATTGTATAAACAGGAGAAAATACGTTTTGGGATATCAAAATAGCGCAATTTTGGAATTCCGAAACTTTCCGTCATAAGTAATTCAAGCCAACCTTAACTTAGAGTTAGAATTGCAAACATGGAAAGAAGGTATAGTGATAAAGGTAAGAATACGAGATTACGAGAATACTAGTGTAAACCCCGGGGCAATGCCCCGGTAGCGGCAACTCAATTTGGTATGAGTTAAAATGAAAAATAGTACTACGTATCACGTAATAGATATTGTGAAGGATACAAATTTTAATACTGCATAAATGCATATTTACTATGATTTAACCACAAACTATAATAATTTTTTATTTATTTAATGACTATATATTAATTTATCCATCATCATATATTATATATTTACTCTTTAGTCTATATCATGATTTTTCATTGAATTGCGGTAGCATTGCGATTAAAATGAGTTTTAAAACTGAGCTTTACTATTAAAACAATAGATATCATGAGTAAATTTTCTTATATCTATTCGCACGCATGCGTACGTGTGTTATTTATAGAAAGTCTAGCCACTGAACAGATCCCAACGGAAAATTTAGATGCCATATACGTATGAGATACGAGTATGTAATTAAGGAAAGCTATTAAAATAAAATACACTCATATCTCTTATTAAAATTTAGACCTACAGGCTAGATGGAAAAACTCTATTATATATATGCATGTATAAATATAATATGTCAAGTGAGCTCCAATCCGACCATAATAGCTTCCTTTCTTCTCTTCTAATTTCCAATAAACTAATTCACTAATACACACAAATATATAAATACTATGATCTGGTGCTAGCAGAGCCGTGCTTACTTGGAGGCCAATGAGGCAAAGGCCTCAGGGCCCCAGAAAATGTTAGAAATTTAGGGCCCCAAAATTTAAAATACTTTCTATTATATATATGTGTGAATTTAAAGTATAAATTGGTTCCCTTGTTTTACCTTTATCTGCCGCGACCCACAAAGTTGACCATTTCAAAATGCTTGGGATGGATTTGAATTGAATTTGCAGAGTGGAACTCTTTTTCTAGCCTTAAAAATTTCATTTTTCAGATATTTAAATTTTAAAATCATTTTGTTCTCGAATTTGTTGACAATAATTTTTTATTTAACACGTTTGTTTAACTAATACTTCCTCCGTTCTTTTTTAAATACAACGGTCCACTTTTCAAGTTTGCCAACACACACATTTGACCATTGATATCTTTCATTTCTTATTAGAAAAAAAATTAAAAAAAATTAGATTTTGAAAATTTGAAATGAGAAGAATTTAACAATATTTTTTTAAAATTTAATTTATAATACATTAATAAATAAAATAGAGTCAAAGTAGAACATGTGAATAGTGGAAAAAGTCTAATGTTGCATTTAAAAAAGAACGGAGGGAGTATTAGTTTATATGTGTGTGTAGGAAAATGTTCATGTAAGGTAGGCCTAAAAGTTGAAATTTTAGGGTTCTTTCATTTGAGCTACTTCCGGGTCGAATTTTTTTGATGAAATTTGGTGAGCACGTCTCCGTGGAATGTAGATTATGTCCACTGAAATTTAGATTAAAATTCAATTGGGAAGTTAGCGAAATAAAATTTTGAAAACTGCACAGTTTTTAGGCCTAAAAATGCATTTTTTTCAATAAATTATTGAACTAACTTTCCGATTGAATTTTAATATGAAATTTAGTGCACATAACCTATACTTCAAAGAGAACATGCTCACAAAATTTCATTGAAAAATTCAACCCGGAAGTATCTCAAATGAAAGAGGCCTAAGAATTATAACTTTTACATCTACCTTACATGAACATTACCTTGTGTGTGTGAGTAATATTAAACAAATTACTTATTTTAAAACAATTGTTATATAAGCACATAGTACAATAGTATAAGCATTTAACATACTATCGTAATTAGTTATTGTTTGTGATGTTTAATCTTTAACATAAAAACAACGTAGACTACGAAATATTATACGGAGTAATCTATTATAGTCTACAGGGCCTTCTGTGAAGTTCGACTCAGGCCCGAATTAAGATAGGATCGGCACTGGGTGCTAGTATAACAGTGCGTAGTATATACATGTAATCGACATGTATATACTACTATGTATATAAATACTATGATCTGGTGGTTAGTATAACAGTGCGTAGTATATACATGTAATCGACATGTATATACTACTATATGTATATAAATACTATGATCTGGTGGTTGGGACTCCACCCACTCCACCCACTCGTAGTACTCCACGTCAGCATAGCCAACTACCCATTGGTGGTATAAATAGAAACATTTATTTCATTGTAAGGGGTTAGCAACTTTCTATTCTTAGCACTCTAGCTTATATCCTCCTTACTCGTTTCTGACAAATTAAACTTGTCAAACCAGTGTTTCTGAAAACTTCGTTTTTGAGCTCCAATCTTTTTAAATGGATAAGCTTCCATTCTCGGTTGATAAGGCCCAACATTTAGATATGCACGTCTCATTTCATCTCGTACATTGACATGATATTCATGAATTTGCTTTCTTTTTCCCGGGTCTCTCTCAATAGAAAAAGATGGAGACAACTCCAAATTTGAGATAGTTTGGATTTCAGGGACTTGAGCATATGGAGGAACCTCATTGAGTGGATCTTGCACTATTGTAGGTATAGGTTCAGAACTTCCTTCACCAGCTTGACGATTCACTTTTGGAAAGAATGATGAAATTAACACCTTTCCTTTCTTGGCAATGTGTTCGTTATCCATTCTAAAAAAACATTTGTATAAATTAAAATACTTATATAAAAAAAATATAACTAATAAGGAAAAACAATCGTTGTGCATAAAACTAATAAGTATTATCAATTTTCAATTGCATAGTAAGTAGTAACTAAATCATTTTCTACAATTTAATTCTATCTTTAATCATTAAAATTATAATGAATTAAACACTATTCCGTATGTAATTATGTACTGAAAAATTCTATTAAAAATCAAAATGATTTCCTAACCCTAAAACTAAAAATGCTAAAAATACATTAATGCAAAACTCTTCATTATAATACGGTTATAGACTTATATGGTAGAACACATAACACATTCATAATTCTTTAATTCACAATACAATCTAACATTTAACACCAAAAGACCAAGTCAATCAAACTAATAAATTAAAAATCTAAAAGATAAGTACAATTTGGACTTTGGAGTACCTGGAGGCCGGCTGGAGTCCTGGAGGGAGGCAAAGGAGGACTGCCTGAGTCCAGATAAGAAGCAGGGACGGCGGAGTGGCGGACGACGCAGGTGGGCGGGCGGCGGCGCGGCTGGTGTTCAATTCTTCCTCGCAGGTTCAAGCTTCGATTTTCCCTCTTTGCACATCGTTCCCTCCTTCAACGCTCAATGCTCCGCGTAAGTCAGAAGGCCGAGAAGTGGACAACGATTAAAAGACCAGGTTTGTTTATTGGGCTGTGGGTTGGGCGCCTGGGCTGGGAATTAACTCTGGGGCTGGGCTGAGAAATAATTTGGGGATGGGCTGACAATATAACATAACCCTGCCCTAACAGTGGTCCGCCCCTGGTCATCTACTTCTTCACCGATCGATCTATAGCATAGGTTCAATTCATGGATATTGTGAAAAGCATTGGGACCTATTGCATGAAAATTAAGAACAGTATTTCCCCTCCACCCCCTCCTAAACCCAACGAGGCAAACCTCACTTTCATGACTTGTCTCTTGAAAGTAGACATCAAATCTCCAGGGTGGCAGAAGGCAATCATGGCTATCTTAAGAAGCAATAAGGGTATGCATCGTCCATCTCTAGCCTTTTTTCTTAATTATATACACATACTTCGGTATATAATACGAAGTAGTGTTCATTAGTATATATATATATATGATCGAACTATTAGTTCATAAACATCTAATATAAGCTTGCGAAATTTTACTTTTTGATAATCTACCGGTTCAGGGGCGGAGAAAGCATTGGGCCGCACTGGGCCGGTACAAAGAATATTTTTGAAATTTTTTTTACACATAATTTTTTACACTTAAAATAAGCATTTTTAAAATTTGGGCTGGGCCAGGGATGGCCCTCCCCTAGCTCCGCCCATGTACCGGTTGCAACTAGCTAATTAATCCTATGTACGTTGTTGATAGTAATGATAGAATAAAAAAGGGATAAGGGTCAGATAGGGCCTCGAACTTCGAAAAAAATGTCAAATAAGGCCATATTTAGGCTGCTATGTCCGGCTAACGCCATTTGGGGCGGTTCCCGGTGGAATTTTTTGATGAATTTTTTTGAGAATCTTATTCATTAAGTCTAGTTTACTCATATCAAATTTGAACTACCAATTCAATCGGGAAGGCATTCAAATGAATTCTTGAAGATAATTGCGCTTTTAACTGCACAGTTATCTTCAAGAATTCATTTGAATGCCTTCCTGATTGAAGTTTTAGTTCAAATTTGATATGAGTAAACTAGACTTAATGAATAAGATTCTCAAAAAAATTCATCAAAAAATTCCATTGGGAACCGCCCCAAATGGCGTCGGCCGGACAGAACATCCTAAATATGGCCTTATTTGACATTTTTTTTCAAGTTCGAGACCCTATCTGACCCTTATACCAATAAAAAAATTTGGATCATAAGCTTTATTTTTCGACCTAAAACAAAGTTGATGACATTACCTTTGTCCCGAATTGATATGCAAGTTTGACTTTTTTGGTCAAACAATTTAATGTTATTCACTTAATTAGGATGTCAATTTTTAATTATATCGTAATTTGAAGTTTGTAACTTTGATTAGATTTTAATGTAGTTTCTGAATATGTAGATTTTAATTATTAAAAATTGAATTATTGTCAATAGCGAAGATTTAACTTTAACGTTGGTTAACAAAAAAGTGTTGACTTTGCAAATCAATTTGGAACGGAAAGAGTATGAATGTTACTGTTTATACGCATATATACTATACATAGTACGATAGTATATACTTTTTGTGTTAGTTTGGAGGAAGTCTTTTTGTGTTAGTATATACATAGTACGATAGTATATACTTTTTGTGTTAATTGGGAGGGGATGGGGAGCCTGGAGTAACCAGCGTTGAAACTTATTTCATTGAATTTCTAACCCTTATGTGCCTAATGAGTTTCGAACTCAAGACATGATAATCTCACAACTAGCTAAATAGTTTTTTTCCAGGTAGCTATATACTGGTACGGAGTATGAAAATTTATAAATCTCGGCTTCAGTTATAACTTTTTTCAGCTGAGGTCCCCCTAGTATTCCGTTAGTGGCCGCTATATAGTATAGTACTTCCTTCGCCGCTTAAAACTTTATCATTTTAAAACTTTGGCGAGATGTTGTTTCTTAATATAAATTGTATTACGAAGTTCATTCATTCATTTTCATTCATTTTCATTTACCCCAGTGCCGCAAAGGCTCTCACCTACGGTGGGGTAAGGGGGTCAGATGTACGCAGTCTTACCCCTGTACTAAAGCACAGAGAGACTGTTTCTGGATGACCCATAGTGAAAATCGCGTCCAAAAATGCATGAACTGACTGCAACTTCATAACAAAGAAGCGCAGACAGTTTATTTTGAGCCATTTTGTTTTATTCCATCATATTCTCAAGCCAAAAAATCATGAATCTTTGGCTCCATTGCAAATTAGTATTACGGAGTATAATATAAATATCATATAGAAATATTCTGTGTTAAATGTATAAAATTTACGGATTATAATATTCATAAAACTAAACTAATTAATCTAAATAATTGTTCAAATGGTTGGCTTGAGAAGTGAAAGATATGAAAGTTAAGAGTATGAATGGACGCAGGAGTGAGAAGCTTCCAGATGAGTCAAAACGGGAAGATAATGGTGACGGGGAAGGGGGATCTGAACCTGCTCCTCAAAATGCTGAAAAAGGCTGAAAAATCAACGGAGCTTGTTTGGGTTCAATCCGGCCTCTGCTCTAGTAACTTGTTCCTCATCAACGGCGGCGGCGACGGCGACGGAAGCTATGTCCAGCAGGGACCACGAGGACCTTTTGATGCGCAGCCGTGCTACCCGCAACCAGCGAGTCATCACCACTCCTACTATACCAGTATGCCGCCACCGCCGCCTGCTTATCATCATCATGTCCCGCCGCCTGCTTATCATCATGTCCCGCCGCCTGCTTATCATCATCATGTCCCGCCGCCTCTCGAACCGGCATTTGGAGTGGATAATATTGATAATGATAGAAGCTGCTACCTTCAACAAGGGGCATTCAGACCGGCCAACAATGTACATTATGATAATCACATTGTAGCAGGATCATATCGGTGAGGCCGGCCGGCTGGACACCTACCCTGGCTAAAATCATGCTGAAAACCATATTTCATCGATGTATATGGCTCCATTTAAAAGAATTTGAAGCAGTATTTCTTTTCTTTTCCATTTAACTTATCTCCTTTCAAGTATTGTGAGATTTGTACTTTTGCATAACATTACTGAGTATTATGAAATCCGGTATGCTTTGATAATATAATTATCTTATTCATTTATACTTCGTATTTTCTTATCCATGCATGCAAGTATGGTTGTAGTAAAAATTTAAAATATAATAACTCAATCATATTGATTTATTTTTAACTGTGTAGGACTATATTTTAATAACACTCAACATAAATTAGTTTATCAAATTCCAGTTAGAGATATCAATGCAATTTCATATAATCTAATAGCACTCAACATATATATTTTAGCTATATCAATAACTTTTAAAATGTTGTCAGGAGTCACTGGTCCGTATCTTATGTGATATACATGTGTGTGCGTGTGTTATGTGTGTTATGTCAAATGGGTGAAGCACAACTATGAAAACAAAGATTGTTATTGTACAAAAAATACTGTGTATAAATATCAATGAGATCATCTATAGATTTAAAAATGCCTAGGAATGTATTTTATAATGAAAACAATTACATGCAATGATACACGCCAGGTGATCTTTACTAGCAGACGGAGTACTTTCCTCTAGGTTCTTTATGTTAGTGGTCACAATCGTGATTCAGCTGTCCATTAAGCGCAAATCGCCTCCAGTGAGCCCGAGATCATAATCGAGCTTCTTGCAGTCAGCACCCAAAGCTGCCTTTCAAAATGCTGCTCAGCTTGTCAATCACCACCGAAGGGTTAGCGTAGGACCCATCCAAAAAAATGGGGTGGTATTCTAGACCCTTCCATTGTGCAATCAGAGCAAAATGGGGACGCCTATACTCACTGCTAATGATCTCCAAAATTACTGTTCGGGGCATCGCGGATATAATGTGGGTCAGCCCTGCGCCATGGGCACCCACAATGACCGAAGCATCTTGTATTGCCCGAACTTGCTCCTTCATTGACATGTGTCCAAACAGCCCATTGACTACATTTACCTTGCAGCTGAAATTGTTTGATGATGATGAAGATGCTACCCAGTTCTTTACAGAATCAAACACATCTTCTTCATTGATAAGCCTTGACTGTACCTTCCCACCATGACGGGGATGGGCAAAATAGTCCTCGCGTCTTACAAAGAGAATATTATGACCTGTAGCCGGCCTTGAAGAGATGTTGTTATTCAGCCTATTCACTGGAAACCGAAAAGCTGCCTTTACCATCTCCCCAAATTCGTGTAGCCGTGCAGTTTTCTTATCATTGGGGTTTTCCCAAAGATCACGGGCCGGGGCTCCTTGACAGTTAATGTTTCCTGACAGACCCTTGAAGAGGGCTGTCTCATACCCCAAAGGTGAGAGGATGACATGGCGGAAGCAAACAGGACCACTGAAGTTTTTTGCGTATCTGATGCTTGAAAACAAGGCTTTCCATGTTTCTTCCAACTGTGTCTGAGAATTTTATTGCAAAGCAGACAGATAATAAGACCATTTGTAGTGGTCATGGATTAGGAGTCAAAAGATTGAAAATGGAATTTTTAGACTCTTAATTTGGTATAGTGGTAGATTAAAAGGGGAGTAAAAGTGGGAAGGGGAGTGGAAGAGTGTATAAATAGAGGGTTAGGTTGACAGGGTAAAAGAAAAGGAAAAAGAAAAAAAGATGAAAATGCGGCACTCTTCTGCGGTGTTCATGGTTCTGCTGACATCATGATGATGTCACGCTGATGTCATTAAAATCCCAATTAATTTTAAACTCTTGTAACTTTTTTATTTGTTCTCCTAACTTTTCAAAAATTATATAAAAATTCATGAATTTTATGATCTTTCATATGACACCAATATGTAATATATAAAATGCAAATAAATAAAAAAATTAACTATTGAAGTTTTCTTGGACCCAAAAAAACACGAAACAACAAATTTTTAATTCATTGAGCCTTCACAAATACTACCTGGATATTCCATAATCCAATTTTATTTGAACTG